AAGCAATAGAAAATGCTGCTAATAGTGTAAGTCTTACACACGGTGATAAGAAAGCAATTGATGTATGTCGATTTTATTCAGCACTTATTTGGAATGCTATCAATGGTATATCGAAAGAAAATCTTTTAAATCAAAAATTTTATTATAATAATTTCAAATTATCTTTTGATAAAGATGTTATGAAAATAATTCAAGGTTCATATAAGAAAAAACATGGATATGTCGATGGTATACGTGGTAAAGGTTTTATATTAAATTCACTTGAAGCTGCTCTATGGGCATTTTATAATGATGAAAATTCGTTTGAAAAAGGTGTTCTTCTAGCTGTTAATTTAGGTGATGATACTGATACAACAGCTGCTATTTATGGACAACTTGCTGGTGCTGTATATGGTATTGAAGGAATTCCAAAACGTTGGCGTAATCGATTATTTCAAAAAGATTTTATTCTTACTCTAGCTAATGGATTATATATAAAAGGAAAAACATTTGATCGTCCGAGACGAACATCAGAAGTAATAGACGATGTTCAAGAAGATAAACATAAAACTAAAAAAAGTAATATCAAATCTTCTAAGGGAGCAGCACATATAATTTCTGAATGCAAATAAATTATTATAATTTTTTTTTTTGAATGTAACATTTATGCGAAATAAATATGAAATGTAAATATAATTGTTTATTTTATCGATACTGTGAATTACATAAAATAACTAAGATGATAGGAAAATAAAATGTTGTCATTCAATAGTTAACCTGAAAAAAGAAGAGATTGAATGCTTAACAGAAAGACAAAAAATTAAAATAATTCTAAGCTGTTGGATTTTTTCGCATAAGTTCAATATCGGCTGCAACCATTTCTTTAACCAATGCCTATTATAAATAGTACACAAGAAAATAAAATAATAATTAATAGTAATTATCATACTTGAAATGTTATTTTAGGTTTCCATTTAAGTTTTTCTTCAGCTTTCTTTGGATTACCAATTAAAAGTTCCTTAAAATAAACTCATTATTAATAAAGAAAAAACAGAAATTTTCTATTTCAACTTACAACTTCAGTGGGTCGAAAATATTTTGGATTGACTACAACACGAGTAATATCAGTACCTTTTTCTTTTCCAATTTCATTGATACCTTCACCTTCCCATCTATTATAGAATTATTTAAATTTTCATTTTGTTCTGTAATTCATTGAATACTTACACAATTCGTTTTCCTATTTCTTGGAATGCTGCTTCAACAAATTCTCGTACACTGTGTGTTTCACCTATATAAACATTTCGATATAATTATGATCATCAATTAGAAAAACTATCTAACCAGTTGCAATAACAAAATCTTCAGGTGTATCATGTTGTAACATAAGCCACATAGCTTCAATATAATCACGTGCATGTCCCCAATCACGTTTCGAATCTAGAGCACCAAGTTCAAGTACTTCTTGTGTTTGATGAAAAATTTTTGCAACACCCCGAGTAATTTTTCTCGTAACGAAATTATCACCTCGTCGTGGTGATTCATGATTGAAAAGAATTCCATTAACAGCAAACATATTATATGCTTCACGATAATTAATTGTTATCCAATAGGCATATAATTTTGCAGCAGCTATGACGATATTGAAAAAAAACAAAAATTATTAATTAGTTTTTTAAATGATGGATAACATACCATATGGTGATCGTGGATAGAATGGTGTTGTTTCACTTTGTGGAATTTCTTGAACTTTACCATAAAGTTCAGATGTTGATGCTTGATAAAATCGTACATCTTTTTCAAGACCACATGTTCGAATAGCATCCAAAAGACGTAATGTACCAACAGCATCAACATCAGCTGTATATTCACTTAAATCAAATGAAATCTATGAGAAAAGAAAAAATTTTTATTTTATGGAAATATTAATTAATAAAATTTATACTTTAACATGACTCATTGCACCTAAATTATAGATTTCTGTTGGTTTAACACTAGCAACTATTTTAACTAATGATGAACTATCATTTAAATCACCATAATGTAATTTCATAGCTATTTTTAATAATATACAATACAAATAATTTATTGATATATGATTAAAAAACAAACCTCCTTCTGTATGTGATTCTGGATTTGCATAAAGATGATTGATTCGACCAGTATTAAAACTACTTGAACGTCGAATAATACCATGAACCTATACAATATTATAAATGTAATAATTCTTTTATAAAGATATATCTTTATACCTGATATCCTTTTTCGAGTAAAAATTCAGCAAGATAACTTCCATCCTTAAGAAGAAAAGAAATAAAATAGATTTTATTTTATTTATAATAATTACTTGTCCAGTAATACCAGTAATTAAAGCAATTTTACGTGTAGTTTTTCCATTTGAAGCTACTGGAGTATCTTGAGGAGTCATATCTTCTAGAAACAACAATACAAATGTCAATTATGAAACTAAATCGAACTATCATATAACTAGGAAATATCTTAAACAAAGACGTTCGTTCCAATACAGTAACTATATCTTCTATATATGTTTGGATGATCTTTTCCCTCGATCGTTTATTATCTCCTATCGTCTTGTTTAGTCTGTTATGTCAAACAAAGAATACAAATGAATAAACGAACGATAGTACGCACATACATACAAATCTTTTTCATATGAATCATATATGAATATCAGATTTTTGTCTTGAAGCGCCATAAATTTAGGTTTTATACTCTATTCTGATTGGTAATAAAATTGTCTAATCCAAAAGATGTACACCTTTTTTTTTGGAAAGGGAAGAACGAGCATAAGTTCGTTTAAAGTAGGCGTAAACATCTATACGTTTCACGCTTTTTTTTTCCTTATATTCTGTTGTAATTTAAAAGATTTATTAGAAAAAAATAATATGAATCATATTTTTTCTTTTGTATTTCTAGACATGAGTTCAGTGAATTCTAATAGTGTTGGAAGATCACCATCATTAAAAGAAGATGGACTTGCTCAATTGAGTTAGTATAATTATATATAGATAAAAGTAAACTTTGTTTTGTTTTCTTTTTATATCTCAGGTCGATCAGCAGAAAATGCGAAGAGAATTAAAAATGTGCAAGATAAATTTGTTAATAGTCAAGTTTGTTTGTTTTTTTATTTTATCAAAAAAATTCAATCGTTTATTTTCTATTGTTTAGAATTTACAAAAAGAAGGTCGAGCTTTAGTTGGTGAAGGTATTTTAATGAAAGTATGCCGAAAAAAACCTAAACAAAGAGCGTTCTTCTTATTCAATGATATTCTCGTATACGGACGTGTTGTTATCAGTGGACGTAGAGTAAAAGAACAAGTTTTATGTTTAACAAAAGATGTCATTCTATTATTATTTTATTTAGTATTCACAACAAAAAATGATTCCACTTAATGAAATACAAATCGGTGCTCCTATTGATTCAGCAGGTATATAGATAGACAAACATATATGAAATAAATTCTATTTTTTTATTTAAATAGAAAATCCATATGCATGGTTAATAAGTAGTCCAAAGAAATCTTTTATTGTCCGAGCAAATTCAGATCGTGAACGACAAGAATGGCTTACACATCTTGATCGTTGTATTCGTTATGCTTCTGGTATGTATAAATTTATTTTAATATTCTTATGATATAGTAATTTATTAAGGAGGTGCTAATACACAACATAATGCTGTCGCTGCACATTGGATACCTGATGATAAAGCTGATACATGTATGCATTGTCGTACAGCGAAATTTTCAGCTTATAATCGTAAACATGTGAGTAATTGAATGATTTGAAAATCCGTAAACTTAAGCTACGATAAATTTATTGAACATGATAATAGATATGTGACAACTCCAGTTCCGCTCAATGAATTGGAACTGTTTGAACAGTTCTTGTTCGTTTGAGCTGGAGATGGCGACCAGCTCATTTTATTCATATATTAATCATTATATTACATAAAACGTTTGGAAACAATTACTTTAAGCTTTTATTAATAACTTCGTTGTCAAAAATGATCGTTAAACGTGAATAGTTGGATATTATTCACGTTTGTATGTAATATAATGATTAATATATGAATAAAATGAGCTAGCCGCCATCTGCAGCTCATATGAATTTGAACTGGCGATCCAGTTCTTCGATTCAGCTCATGCGAACTTGAGTTGTCACATACCTACATGATAAAAGGAGAATTTGTTTATAGTTTAATCTCGTAATGTTTTTTATGCTATTGAAAATATTCCTATATGTCAATTCTTATTTCTATTAATAGCATTGTCGAAATTGTGGTTTAGTTGTTTGTGATGGGTGCTCAAAAAAACGCTATTTAATTTCACATTTGGATGCAAAACCAGTTCGAGTATGTGATTCCTGTTATGCTAAATTAAATAATAACGATAGCAATGGTAAAAATAATAAACTAATTATCTTTATTATAAATTATTCTCTTTTTCTTTTATATTATAAGACGCACGTCTAAATCAACGTGATCGACCAGCTGATAGTAGTGACAGTGATGGTGATGAAAATCCTCAATATTCTCCAATACCTGTATGAATACTATTTGAATTTTCTTTTCAAATCTATTCTCTATCTATTTTTTAGGCGACTTTTTATCAAAATGTTGAAAATCTCTAATCGATTATTGTTTCTATTATGTCCATTTCAATTGCAATATAACTTAGATGATCATATATTAATAAACATTCCCGAAAGACTTTTATACATATATATATTAATTGATTAGTTTATTGTTCTTTTCTTTTTTTTTTTTGTTTTAAATTTCGAATGCAACATCACATTTCTTTGTCAATGAATAAAATTAAGCAAACACATATTTATACTTTTCGAGAATGTCCTATGTATGTGATCTTTCTATATTTTATTAAATGAGATTTTGTCTTCTTCTTATTCGTTAATAAAAACAAAAACAGAAACTTGCGCTAAATTTGTTAACATAACAACTATAATTCATTTGATAACATTTTCATTAGTCTTACGTTCTATTCATGGAAAATTATTTTCATATACCAAATGAATTTTCCGATGTTAAAATTTCATTTAAAAATGAAAATGGTAAGATGTATAAAACAAAATCATAAATTTAATTGGTTTCAATTTCATTAGATACAATTTTATATGCAAATAAAGCTATTTTATCGGAAGCATCACCTATAATTAAAGCTTTTTTAGCTATTGAACCTGACAGTATATTTATTATTGATGAAGATGATGAACAATCAATAATAACATCAACAGATGTTATTGATCTTTTAAAATTTATTTATCCACAATTTACAATGAAAATAACTGAACAAAATAGTAAAATTTCTATTGAATAATTGTTATTTTTCTTCTTTTTGTAAATATTCTATTAGTCATTGGACTTATACATTTATCGGAAAAATATTTAATTGAAACACTTCGAAATGAATGTAAAAAATATGT